AATGCTACTAAACCAATTTTTATATGATCTTAACAGTAAAGGTTAGGCTCATCACTACTTCGTCAAGGTTAGGCTCGGCACTTACAGTACATGGGGTCGGTTGTACTGATACTATACTGCACTTCTGTGCAGATTTTGGCATTGGTCCTAGTTGATCGAGAGGCATAGCAGCTCGGACCGGACCACCGGAGACTCAAGGTAGATCTGTCGGCGTTCACAGACCTTGTAGTCCCCGTCTATCTCTTCTATTTACTGTTTCTTTCGTTCAAACATTTGTACTTCTTTCAGACTTTTACTTGTAGTAAATCCTAGAATGTTCGTGGATTGTGACTCCAGATCCGGGTGGTAGTAAATATTGAAGTTTTTATAATATTCCACAAACTTTGTCTTAGCTTCTGTTTAGTTTAATTATTAATGTTCTCGTTATTAAAAATCGGCTGAAGTTGAGTTGTGAATTCTCTAACATTGGCTTGCCTAGCAAGTGAAATGTTAGGCGCCATCACGCCCCCGAAGGTGAGAATTCCGGGTCGTGACATTCTGTTTGATACCACTTATACTATCAATTTGCATCATTTTAAATTGAACCCGCTTGTACAAAATCCTGGGTCCGCCACTAGAAGCACATGGACATAGGGAAGAACTAATATCAACCACTACCAAGAGTTGTGATAAGATAAATAAGTTCCTTTCACCTTTAATTAAAAGTCTCAATTTCGAGCCTGAATTTGAAAAAAAATTCTTATAAGAAGCACTTTTTCCGTTATGGAACCTTATTCAATGAAAATTGAAATTAGTTAGAGCCCGAATGCAAATATCGAACATCAAGTGAGAAATGATAAAAGAATCCCTTGTCTATCCCCCTTTGCTTGGTTGCTCCTCGTGGAAGTAGTAGCTCCATTCAATCTAAGCTTACATTTTCTATGCAACTTTACAACTTCCAACTATTCTAAATCAAACCGCTCAACTTTTATTCTTTAACTTGTAGATATTAAACCAAATAAGAAAGAGAGAGAGAGGGGGGGGGTGTATCCCGGCGATTCAAATTTCATCAATCGCATAATTTATCGAAACAATTTTTCCACCAGAAGCAAACATGATGACTAAGAGACAATAATAATTAGACAAGTTTTTGTTAAGCCAAGAAGAAAGAAAGAAATAAAATTATTTGCATAAAAAACAAAATGTGAAATAAAAAGAGAATTAGGTAAAAGAAGTAATGGACTCAAGAAATGAGACAAAAGAAGAAAATTGGAATTGACTGGGCCAAGCCCAATATACACAAAAAAAAAGTGGTGGTTTAATTGGAGAAGCCCATCAGGTTTTTGTTGGACTTGAAGAGCACCAGCCCGTTATCCTTCCACTGCACAGAGCGGGAGCTGTTCGTTGCTCTGTGAAACCAGCCTCACGCAGTCCGCCCCGCTCTACGAGCCAAGCAGCCCATACTTACGTTTGGGCCACATGACTCAACTCCATGCTTGGATAGGGCATGCCAGACATAAGCCACCCGAAGCCTAGCCTTCAGAAACAACTCAACATTCCACCACATTATTGCCCCCACTTGGGTCACAAGCCCACGTTACAAGGCTCGGCAACAGAGTATATTCTTATTTCCAAATATAAACACCAACAAGTCACTACAAGAAACGATGTGGGAGATGAAGACTTGTTTGGTGTAATTTTATGGTGTAGCTTTAAACATGAAAAATGATTACTTTATTAGTTAATTACGTAGAATCAAGCCAAATCGATTGATAATATTTGTTGAACGTTTGGATATATTTCATGCATAGAAAGTGCTACAATAAAATGCAATTGAAATGTCTACAAAAATGATTATCAAACTCTATTATATACCTTTTCTCTTTAATCCTGTCCTCTTCTTTTTCGACATGAGAATTTTTCTCTTACTTGGGGAAAATATAATTCCACATACAAGCAGACCATGCATTTTAAAGCAAATTTCGAGAGAACTAAATCCAAATTGAAGAATGAGCAATTCGTGCATCTTAATACCTTAATTTCGAGAACTTGATGAAAGGTAAAATAAAGTTATTAATCTCTAAAATCTTTTACATAAGGTCTAAAATGTTCCACTACTATATACTCTTACTATTGGTGATCTAAGTCTAATGTTGGAATTTCGTCTGCAGTATGCTGTATTTTTATGTCATTACAAGTAGTATCCTTATCATAGTAAAACCTATAGTTGGCATTTTTCTTATAAACTAATGCTACTAAACCAATTTTTATATGATCTTAACAGTAAAGGTTAGGCTCATCACTACTTCGTCAAGGTTAGGCTCGGCACTTACAGTACATGGGGTCGGTTGTACTGATACTATACTGCACTTCTGTGCAGATTTTGGTATTGGTCCTAGTTGATCGAGAGGCATAGCAGCTCGGACCGGACCACCGGAGACTCAAGGTAGATCTGTCGGCGTTCACAGACCTTGTAGTCCCCGTCTATCTCTTCTATTTACTGTTTCTTTCGTTCAAACATTTGTACTTCTTTCAGACTTTTACTTGTAGTAAATCCTAGAATGTTCGTGGATTGTGACTCCAGATCCGGGTGGTAGTAAATATTGAAGTTTTTATAATATTCCATAAACTTTGTCTTAGCTTCTGTTTAGTTTAATTATTAATGTTCTCGTTATTAAAAATCGGCTGAAGTTGAGTTGTGAATTCTCTAACATTGGCTTGCCTAGCAAGTGAAATGTTAGGCGCCATCACGCCCCCGAAGGTGAGAATTCCGGGTCGTGACATTCTGTTTGATACCACTTATACTATCAATTTGCATCATTTTAAATTGAACCCGCTTGTACAAAATCCTGGGTCCGCCACTAGAAGCACATGGACATAGGCAAGAACTAATATCAACCACTACCAAGAGTTGTGATAAGATAAATAAGTTCCTTTCACCTTTAATTAAAAGTCTCAATTTCGAGCCTGAATTTGAAAAAAAAAATTCTTATAAGAAGCACTTTTTCCGTTATGGAACCTTATTCAATGAAAATTGAAATTAGTTAGAGCCCGAATGCAAATATCGAACATCAAGTGAGAAATGATAAAAGAATCCCTTGTCTATCCCCCTTTGCTTGGTTGCTCCTCGTGGAAGTAGTAGCTCCATTCAATCTAAGCTTACATTTTCTATGCAACTTTACAACTTCCAACTATTCTAAATCAAACCGCTCAACTTTTATTCTTTAACTTGTAGATATTAAACCAAATAAGAAAGAGAGAGAGAGGGGGGGGTGTATCCCGGTGAGCCAAATTTCATCAATCGCATAATTAATCGAAACAATTTTTCCACCAGAAGCAAACATGATGACTAAGAGACAATAATAATTAGACAAGTTTTTGTTAAGCCAAGAAGAAAGAAAGAAATAAAATTATTTGCATAAAAAACAAAATGTGAAATAAAAAGAGAATTAGGTAAAAGAAGTAATGGACTCGAGAAATGAGACAAAAGAAGAAAATTGGAATTGACTGGGCCAAGCCCAATATACACAAAAAAAAAGTGGTGGTTTAATTGGAGAAGCCCATCAGGTTTTTGTTGGACTTGAAGAGCACCAGCTCGTTATCCTTCCACTGCACAGAGCGGGAGCTGTTCGTTGCTCTGTGAAACCAGCCTCACGCAGTCCGCCCCGCTCTACGAGCCAAGCAGCCCATACTTACGTTTGGGCCACATGACTCAACTCCATGCTTGGATAGGGCAGGCCAGACATTAGCTACCCGAAGCCCAGCCTTCAGAAACAACCCAACATTCCATCACATTATTGCCCCCACTTGGGTCACAAGCCCACGTTACAAGGCTCGGCGACAGAGTATATTCTCATTTCCAAATATAAACACCAACAAGTCACTATAAGAAACGATGTGGGAGATGAAGACTTGTTTGGTGTAATTTTATGGTGTAGCTTTAAACATGAAAAATGATTACTTTATTAGTTAATTACGTAGAATCAAGCCAAATCGATTGATAATATTTGTTGAACGCTTGGATATATTTCATGCGTAGAAAGTGCTACAATAAAATGCAATTGAAATGTCTACAAAAATGATTATCAAACTCTATTATATACCTTTTCTCTTTAATCCTGTCCTCTTCTTTTTCGACATGAGGATTTTTCTCTTACTTGGGGAAAATATAATTCCACATACAAGCAGACCATGCATTTTAAAGCAAATTTCGAGAGAACTAAATCCAAATTGAATAATTGGGCAATTCGTGCATCTTAATACCTTAATTTCGAGAACTTGATGAAAGGTAAAATAAAGTTATTAATCTCTAAAATCTTTTACATAAGGTCTAAAATGTTCTACTACTATATACTCTTACTATTGCTGATCTAAGTCTAATGTTGGAATTTCATCTGCAGCATGCTGTATTTTTATGTCATTACAAGTAGTTAATTTCCTTATCATAGTAAAACCTATAGTTGGCATTTGTCTTATAAACTAATGCTACTAAACCAATTTATTATATGATCTTAACAGTAAAGTTGTCTCTGTGTGACCTATAGGTCAAGGGTTCGAGCCGTGGAAGCTGCCACTAATGCTTGCATTAGGGTAGGCTGAGCCGTGGAAGCAGCCACTAATGCTTGCGTTAAGGTAGGTTGTCTACGTCACACCCCTTGGGAGCCCTTTCCCGGCCTGCGTGAACACGCGATGCCTTGTGCATCGAGCTGCTGGTTTACATTAGTATTTAGTAGTAAAAGTTCATCTAGTGTAAGTGTATAACCATCTATTTTATCTTGAATATTCTAACATAGCTCATTTGACCCACAGTTTGAACTGATGAACTAGTAGAATAAGCAAGGCCAAGGCCTAGGATTTTAGAAACCATAGGATTAATATTTAACACTGGACCTTCTTGTAACAATCCAAAATTTAGTTAGCATCACAATTTTATGTTTAGCTTGTTCTGTTTGACAAAGAATAGAACGAATAAGCTTATTAGAAACTGGTAGGAAATGTATATCAGATAGTGAGTGGCAACATTTTCATTGATCATATACTGATCAGTCAATCTTTTAATTATAAATCCACAACAAAAACCATAAGGATTGCAAAAAGGTTTTACTACTAAATACATACATGACCTAGTGACCGTAGTCAGAGCGGCTATATTGACCTAACACAATTCCTCCTTCATTCATTTCATGATGTCTCAAGCTTTCACAAAAGGAATTTGAACTATTTTGCTCTCCACTAGTGACACTCTGTGTATCAGATGAATCATCTTGAGTTGATGTTGTTAGGATTTGACTAACTGCTTCTCTTATGAGATTGACAGCATCATTTCTGCTGAAACTTCTCGTGTAGTGGCTCGTATAAGGGTCTTCCCTATTTGTATCTGCATCATCCTTTCTTAGGAATCTTGAAGTGAGTTGCCGGTGTTCATTGTAGCTGGTGTGTTATTGTCTTCTACCTCATCATCCGTTCCATCAAGTAGTTCGCTCCCTACTTTTGATATAACATCTGATAGTACATGCTGTGATATCATGTGCCACATACTGATGTACTTCTGTTTGTTCACTTGTCTTCTGTATGTACCATAATCACCTTCCGATTCAGTTCTCTTTTTCGTTCTCATCGCTGGATACAGTAGTACTTTCTCTTGCCTCACATTCAGAAGCTAATACTTCCTTCATCTGACTGAGATGCCTTATCACATTCTTCATTCTTGGTGTCGGACTCCTTGAAGTTTTCTTCGGTACAGACTGTTGTATAGTAAACATTCAAATCAATAATTCATGTCACTAAATATAGAACGTATAAGGAGAGGATAGGAAACAATCACATGTTGACAAAACACTAAATAAACTAAAGAAACAAATATAAGTAGTAATGTTCCACCTTCACTTGTTACCGATTGATCATCTGATGACTGGTCTTGAACTTCTGGAATAAGAATTCTCTCAATTGCTTCTCGTACTATCTTAATGGCGAAAATCTTGCGCACTTCAATCTCCTGGTTATCCGCATCCTGATTTGTAGTCACTGATTCTCGCTCGAAAAAATTCAAAAATGAAACAGAACTTTCAGCAGCACATGATTTGTTGCCCTCATTCTTGTGATTTTCTTCACCGGCTCCATAGGTCAGTTTGCTATCCAATTCTGTAGATACATCAGGGATCATATGTCTATGAATCAGGCTCCACATGCTCCTATGCTTCTCTTTTGCAAACTGAGGTATATTCAGTTTCTGCACCGAGGCATTGGATTCAGCATCTTCAGTTAGAGGATAATTCCTGGATTCAGAATCTCCTATTGGACATGACGCGTTGTCAAGGTGCTCGGTTAGATTAGCTTTGCCATCCTTCTCTTTCAAATTCTCTCTGAGTTCCATTCCAGTGTCGCTAGCTGAAGCAGAAGAAAAATCAGTGCTACATTTTGCTGCAACAAGATCATCGCATACCAATCTTGTTTTAATGGCAAATGGTTCATTCTTAGACAGTTCTCTATTGATAGTGACATTGTCATCTGAATTGATGAGAAGTGGCAGTGAAAGCATATGATAGAAATCAGCATCTATGTCCTCGTCATCGCAAACAATTGATGCTGTTACACTGTGATTGCTCGAACCTACATCAACATCACTAACAGAAGTGCAATCATCCCAGTCTCCTTCTATACAATTGTAGCACTTAAACAATATGTCCTGCTCTAATGTAGAATATTTCCTCATTATGTTGATTGTCTCCTGGTAACTTCTCTCTGGAAATGAAGTTTCACCAAATGCAATTTCAGCAAGACCAGTAAATTCAATTGCCTCATTTTCTCCGTAAACTCCACCTTGCATAACACAGCTTCCATCTTTAGTTGACTTGGGGTCAGCGGCGTCTTTCCATTTCCATCAACAGAAAGTTGATCTCCTTTTGCAGACTCACCCACTAGTCTAATGCTTTTCTGTGATTTTAATGAGTCTTTTCCTGGTATAGAGACGCTTTACTGGGGGCGACGGATCATTAACGGTGATGGTATGAACAAACTCTCACTTTTGAAATCCTGTCTGATTCACTTTGTCCAGTAATTTGAGTTAAACATCTTGGATTTAGAACTAGGCTTGTTTATCAAAATCATCACACTTCTAAAGCTAGATGTTCGACTAGATGAAGCTGAAGAATCTGATTGAAAATAAGATGGACTACAACTTTGATCACTACTATGAAAGCTAGATTCAGAACTGTGAGAACTTGCTTGGAAATGACCCCTTTTCCCTTTAGAACAGCTAGTTGCCTTCATATATGATAAGATATGGACATTGGGCCTAACTCAACCCAAAAGCTAGCTCATGAGGTGAGGATTGCCCAAGCCATATAAGGAGACCAAGTCCCCCATCCCTTAGCCGATGTGGGAGACTCAACAATATAAGATGGATGTTGAGGGCTTGATGCATAATCAGAGGGAGAATTAGTCGGCTGCTCGACGCTTGTTCTTGACCTTGTGCCAAAAGTTTTCATTTTATTTTTCAAGTCAGTTCTGTTCTTGATTCTGCTATCCTTCTTCTGAACTTGTGGCTCATCAATCTTGAGCCATCCCTGTAACATAAAAAGGGTAGTTAGACTTTCATAACTTTAACAAGAAAGAAAATGTACAGAATTCTGTCTTGATTAGTCCATTTGATAATTCATTTATTAGGAGATTCTTTTCTACAACTTAAGCAATTGCTGGCATTTGAAACTAGACTTGGTTTGCTCTTAGTTTTGATTATTGGCTGATGATCAATGAAAAAGGCAAGTATACCGGGATTTTTTGAGTGCTTTGAGGATTGTTTCAAGTAAAGACAGTACTTTATCGGAAACAACCTCTCTACCCAAGGTAGGGGTAAGGTCTGCGTACATACTACCCTCTTCATACCCCACTTGTGAGATTATACTAAGTTGTTGTTATTGTTGTACAGTCTTGGATACATGAAAGATCCTAGTTTGTTTGGTTTCTTAATGGTGTCTTTCCCATCTCTTTCCCTACATGTCAAGCTACTAGTTTTTTTAAGTATTGGGTAGGCGAAAAAAATCCGAATTTGCATTAGATGGGCCCACTAAGGGGAGTAAAACACTTGCTTCCAAACTTTCGAGAGATCCTTTATTCTCATAGCTCAAACTCAAGATCTCTGGTATATGACGGAGGGATCTCCATCTTTTGCTTTGAGGTAGTGTTCATTCAATGCCATTAACCCCTCCAAGATTTACCTTCTTTTTATTGGGAAAGATTTCTCTTTTTTTTTTTTAAAAAAAAGAATCTTTTATTAGTTCTTTTTGGAAGGTTGTTCAAATGTTTTTTTTCTGCTGTTGGAGTTGACTGTTTTTAATACATGGATAACAGTGATTCCCTTCTTTTGGATTATTGAGGTAGTTGTCAAGAAAGTTAGGTTATCTTGTTAGATGTTCTTTTTTTAAGTTTATGGCTCACATAAAAGAGAATAGATTCCAAAGCTTGCTTTTGGATTAAAGTAACTGGTTTTTTCTTGATTCACATAATCAGATTAGCAGTAAGTAGACACCGGGGATCTAGATCATGCTATTGACATATTCTTTGCATGAGTTGTACTATACGCATCGTTGCATGTACCTTGGAATTAAAAAAAAGGAACCATTTTGACATGATATTTCTGATTTTCAATAAATGTAGTTGAGATTTTGACTTATACAGAGTAGGTGAGCAGGTGTTGTTGACCTGCCATTTTTATTAATAATCATGTATTAATCAGATTATCATAGATATTGCTTCTATGATTTTTACGGTAAGGTACAACATATAAGTCTTGTAATATTCAACCCAAGAAAAAAAGTCTTGTCACAAAATATCAAGGAATACAAAAATATAAAAATTGTTATAAAATAATAAAAGAAGAAAAGAGTATTGCATAGACAAGTAGAGATATAATTCTTATTGATTTGGGATGAATTACAATGGAATAGGATCTCTCGATTTATATCAAAAGAGTAACTTAGCCACCAAGTAAAATCTCTAAAATCTCTCTAAAATATAGACATTCACCTAAAATAAAACTTTATTTATAACACTCCTCCTTGAATGTCTATTCAACAGATAATGTGCCTCGTTAAAACATTAACTAAAATAAAACCCAGTGGCAAAAAATTCTAGAGAAGGAAAAAGAGTACACATATCTAACAATATGCCTTTTTGGTTGCCTCGTTAAAAACCTTGCAAGGAAAATCCAGAGGGATAAAACCTTGTAAGGGAAAAAGAGTACACTAATCTGTTCAGTTTATAATATGACAAAACCTTGCCACCGGGCGGTCCTGTCCGGTCTAAAACCAGTCAGGGCCGGTCCGGAACCGGGCCAGCCCGACCCGTTTGACACCTTTACTTAAGACTAATATTTGACCCAAAAGAAATTGGTGTGAATATCGTCAAAAATACACATTGGTCCGGTTATAATATGCAAGTACACTCGGCACATTAAGTATCATCACTAATCTCAGCGAGATAATGGCGAGAACTGCCCATGATACTCACTAAACAACCTGTTCAGTTTATAATATGCAAGTACACAACAACAGTAGCAAAACTAAGCACGAAATATAGATAATAACCAATCAGTGCATACAGAGAAGATGTGCGCAAGTCTTATAACAGTTTGATAGCTTAACATATAGAGAAGTTACGCATCTATCACCAACGAATCATCAATGTTGGCATATAGAGAAAATATGCATAAATAGTCAAGTCAATGTGCATAGCCTAACATATAAAGAAGATATGAATCGTGCCTTCATTTTCCAATTAAAATAACATATAGAGAAGATATGCATAAAGAGTCACGTGTACATTCCTAAACTAGCATACGCAGAAGATATGTGATAAAATCATGTATACACCAAGGTGTTTGCATATAGAGAAGATGCGCAAAAACCAAACATTGATAAGTTTTCCTTATACCGCGTGTATGCAATCAAGAGAGAAACATGAGAGGACGACCCTAAGGGGGTGGATCCTTATCTCCACGCTACACAGACAAGTCACGGTGCCATAATATAACAACCACATGGACCGCACTCACGTATTGCTAATCCTCTGTGTGTGTGTGTGTGTGTGTGTGTATATATATATATATATATATACGAACAATGAATAATAAATCACATACTCATGTACTAATAAAAAGCAGCATGCTAAGGTGTATGCATGTGAGAAGTGTGCTACCACAGCTCAGATTACGCGGATACGCCACAAAATAATAATTATCATGTTTGAATAGGAAATCAACCTACACGTGATCTCTAGCATGATATTATTTAAGAAGTTCACGTGGTCATATAAATATATGAAGCATGAAAGCAAGAAGCATAGTAAACAAAACAAGTCATAACATAGCCTAAAGACTATCACGAACATGGATAAAACCTCGATGGACGCCACATGATCTCGTCGCTCCATGTACGTCACCCTCGGCACGTAGCTATCATCAACAATTCAAGCAACTAGTCAAACCAAGATTATACAAGATACTTACCTCAAACGAGCAAAATCAGTACTTCACGAATACCTTTCGTCGCGAATTGGCCTCCGAACAGAGCAAATCTAGCCAAATAACATATCGCGATGTCAAATAATACTAAAGAAAATAATTATAGAGCATAAAGGCTCGATCTTTAATTAATTATACAAAGTCAACCAACAAGTCAACTAGGGCCCGCTTTTTGGAACCTGACAAAACTCACAAATCCCCACTACCCATTCAAAAATCAAAAACGAGTCCAAATACACAAGTTTCATCTAAATTCAACTCTAAGTCGGGGTTTAAATCACAATTATCCACTTTCCAAAATCTAACCCAAAATCCCAATTTTCCTCTTTCATTTTCATGCTATAAGTGTATAAATTCATAGAAAATTTAGATATATAATCAAATCCAAGTAGAAAATACTTGCCCTCAAAGTAGTGATGAAAATCTCCCTAAACTTTACCTCTAGTCGAACTTCAAAATACCAAATAATAAAAAATGAGCAAAACCCTCAAAATATAAGTCTACCCAGCAACTCCGCATATGCGGACAAAAACATTGCATATGCAACACCGCTTCTACGAAAAAGGCTCGCATCTGTGAGACCCACTAATGCTGGCAACCCTTCGCTTCTGTGGCACATACGTCGCATCTGCGGCTCCGCAGGTGTGGCCAAACCCTTCGCGGGTGCGCACATCCCCCATGCATGTCAGTCTCCGCAAGTGCGCACCAAATATTCATAGGCGCACCTTCGCACTTGCGATCCACTCTCTTTAGAAGCGAGACTTCCCAGATCATCTCAACTCATAGATGTGAGATACCAGTCGTACCTGTGCCAAATCCCCGCAGGTGCGGTGCACCAGAACCAGGACTGCCCAAACCATTCCTAATGATCTGAAACCAATCTGTAACACATCCGAACCTCCCGGGACCCCATCCAATAATAACAACAAGTCCTGATAACTTACCTAAACCTATCTGAAAGCTCAAAATAACATAATAACATCCACAATCACAAATTACACATCAAAACTCAAGTTGCAAAACTCTTAAGTTCAAGGACTTCAAACTTCCAACCAAGCGTCCGATTTATGCTTAACCAACTCGGATCATAATCAAAATTCGCACACAAGATCCAAACCACTAAATGAACCTATTCTAAGTTTGGGGATGATAATCCAAACCCCGATATCATCAAAGTCAACTGACGGTCTAACTTATGAACTCTCCAAACCTTCAAATTGTCAACTTCCGGCAAATAGAGCCAAACTTTCTAGGTACCTCCAAATTCAAATGCGGACATACGCCTAAATTCAAAATCAGTATACGAACCTACTAGGATCATCAAATCGCCAATCCGAGGTCGTCTACTCAAAATTTAAACTTAGGTCAATTCTTACAACTTAAGGTTCCAAAAATAAAACTAAATGTTCAAATCCTTCTCAAACCTTCACGAAGCCGAATTAACCAATTCCGCAAGTTATAAAAAAAAACTCACATAAGAGAAGCATCGAATAGGGAAAACGGTACGTAAATATACAAAACGACTAGATGGGTCGTTACAACTCATCAGCTATATAATTAACTCAGCAGTTACAAAATTTTAGCATTAACTCAGTCGTTACAAGTCTTCCAAAAGTAACGGATAGGTTGAATAAATACTCATAATGGACTCATAATTCAAGGGGAATAGTTATCTAAAATTAGTCCCTTAAATATGCATACTTTACCACCATTATAGTCATCTAATTCTATTCTCTACAATTCTACTCATTGTAATTCACAACAACTTGGTCCTAGCTTGCCATAATTTGGCTCATCAAGCTTTGTTGGGACCAATATCCTATCAAAGATCATCCAATAAGAATTATTTCTTTGTGGTGTATTTTTATTGTGTTACCTGTCATTGAATTTACTTTTATTTTTCTACCACGTTATTAATAAAAATTTATATCTTTTGGATCGAATCGGTTGCTTGTGGTCCATCATACAAATTTAATTGGTTAATCAATTAAGTACAATTTTTAGGTTAAACACTAAGAATATCCCATCCTGCTCTCAAGCCATTTGTTTATTTCTCGTCTAATGAAACTACAGTCCAAATAATAAGGAATGACATTGTATAGCCGCTGTAAAAATAATAATCGAAAATATATATTATGTATGTTATATACATAAATTATACAAGTTTTATACACTTTTTCGGTTATCAGATGTAAATAGTTTCTGGTGCGGGCTAAAAGTGATAATACCCAATTAATAATATGTTAAGGTCCATTGAATTACGTTCACGGTACATCAACTTTGACGCTTAATTTGCATTTTAATCAAGGTTATTATTTGAAATTAAAATGCGTAAAAGCTTAATTCTATTCGACTTTCAAAGTGTCTCTTTC